ATGGAAATCTCACAAGGCTTACTAAGACCAAGTACAAGGTCCTGCACCTGTGCTGGGATAACCCCTGTTATCAGCACAGGCTGGGGGATGAGCAGATCCAGAGCAGCCCTGCCCAGAAGGACTTGGGGCTGCTGGCGGATGAGAGACTGGACATGACCCAGCCATGGGCACTCACAGCCCAGAAAGCCAAACATGTCCTGGGCTGCAGCCAAAGCAGCGTGGGCAGCAGGAGAGGGAGGGGATTTTGCCCCTCTGCTCTGCCCTGGTGAGACCCCACCTGCAGGGCTGCATCAGCTCTGGGATCACAGCATAGGGAGAGCAGGAAACTATGAGAGGAGTTCAGAGGAAGGCACAAAGATGATCAGAAGAATACAGCAGCTCACCTGTGAAGAAAGGCTGAGAGAATTGGGATTCTTCATCCAGGAGAAGAGAAGGCTTTAGGGTGACCTATTTGTGGCATTCCAGTACCTGAAGGGACCTGTGAGAAAGATAGAGAGGGACTTTTCACAAGGGCATTAGTGATGGAACAAAGGGGAATGGATTCAAACTCGAAGAGAGTAGGGTTAGACTAGATGTTAGGAAAAATTTCTTTACTGTGAGAGTGGTGAGGCACTGGCACAAGTTGCCCAGTGAAATTGTGGATGCCCCATCCCTGGAAGTCTTGAAAGTCAGGCTGGATGGAGCTCTGGGATACCTGGTCTAGTGAAAGGTGTCCCTGTAGCAGGAGAGGTGGAACTAGATGATCTTTAAGCCAAACTATTCTGTGATTGAGTGATCCTTTTGCCTGTGCATATTATGGTCCAGCTGGGTTGGGTTGAAAAAAATGTGAACTTTAAGAAGGGAGGTCTGTAAGGGTGGGAGGTCAGTAGGAGATGTCATCAGAATTTGCATCAGCATTTGGCAATATCCCTGCAGCACCACCAATAAGATTGCTCCTTCATCTTCAGACTCCTCTCTTTCAGGCACTTGTCTGAAATGTCTGTGTATAGATTCACACGTACTTAGGTATGTATGTGCTGTTGCAAAATGGTTGCTCATCTGAGGCCAGGATTTTACCTCAGAGAGAGATTTGAAATTTTGTCCTTGACCACACAGGAGCCAGGATTTCATCTAAAGGCTTTTATCTCACCGTGCTGGCTGCAGATATCCATTGTTCTTCATATACTAGCCAGACACAGTGCATATTCTATGTCATGTTTCTTTAATCCAAGATTAATAAATGTGTATTTATAATAAACATAGTAATTTTAACAGTATATTGTTGCCATCTCTTCACAGAGGGAGAAAACACTTTAAAGCAAGAACATGTCCTGTGTAGTTTGTAAAAAAATGCCCTGTGCAGTTTATCTGGGAAAATTGATGGCTGCTAATAAATAGAGACTTGTCAAAGGGAAAAATTCCCCTCAGCTGTAATCATTGAAGTGTAATGGCACAAGAGTCTGCTTTTAATGCTGAATTTGCCCAGCAAAGTAACAAATAAGCACCTCAATGGATTGCAAATGCCCTCCAAAGCCAAATTCTGATTTGTTCCATTGCTACTTTTGTCATTAATTAGTTTACTTGAACAGTAGGGATTGTTTTGGTCCCTGCAGTATAAGCTAGCCTCTCATTTAATGCCAAGAAAGGCAGCATTTAAAAAAAAGCTCTTGCTTGCAGCTTTCAAGACTTTTCTCTTTGCCTTTCCTCTCTCCTTTCTTTTTCTTGACTTTATTTTTGACACTTTGAACCTTTTTCTGTTCTCTAGTCAAAATCTCTCTAGCTTCTGCTCTCCCTTTGTCCTTTAATTAACTCTTTAATTACTAGAGCTCCTTTTCTTGTGCTTCTGTTTGATGCCAAGAGGGAAATCTCATCTCTCTCCATCTGCTATTTGTTTATCCTCACTATCAAACTGAGTTGTGTTTCTGTGTTGCGCATTTCTGAAATGTAAAGCACAAGTAGGCTGCTTCAGCAAGCAGTGTGAACAAACTTGAAGAGCAGTTCTAAGCAGCTAACGTGGTTTTTAACCTCCAGGTTGGACAAAGACCCTCCTTTTCATCTCACATAGATGCCTCTGATATCACTGCATGCCCTTGCTGATCTCTTCTTCTTTAACAAATGGCCCAGTCTGACTCCACTGAAGTCTGAAGGAGTTTCAGCGCTGACTTTACACGTGTTTGCATTGACATCCTGGCTCAGAATCAGTACAACTGTCTGTCCCAGGCTTCATTTTCTTTGAGTTAATAAGAAAACTTACATTCTCTGAACATTCAGATCTGCTTTTTCTTTGTGCCTTCCTAATTAGCTCATTGATTAGATGTATTCAAAGGACATTATACTTTTGTTTGCTCTTTCCATTCCCTTTGCACACAAGCTCCTTGAGAAGTCCTTGGTGCATTTACATTTTGGAATCTTCTCCTTACAGAGATTTTCATGGGTGTTCTGTAGTGTCTGAAATCCAAGTGTGACTGCTGTTCATGCATCTAATTTTTGCACTTCATATTTTTTTGCTCTGTCAACTGTATTGCAGTATCTATGTCCACATAGGTGGAAAGTATTTTTAATGTACTTGTAAATTTACAGAGCAATACATTTCACTTTTAGTCACTCTGTCCTGATTTTCTTGTAAATAACCTGCAAATAACATCTCTTATTCCATGGGGCACTCTTCTGTGTTGCATGTTTAAAAAAGAAAATGGTCAAATAATATGTAGGTTCTAACTAAAAGGATATGTAAGTGTAACACAAAAACTTTGTTAATAAGCTTTGAAAATTCTGTGCTATCTTCAGGACTTTCCCCTTTTCCACTTTTCTTTGTGCAATGATGGAAGTTGTAAGTAGTTTTTAAAGATGTTTTGGTTTTTTTTTTAACTCAGAATTTCTTAGCAACTATTAGTGAAAAATATCTGGGAGTTGTTAAGGATATTTAATTTCATGCTTTGATTTGAGAGGGAGGTAAGTTGACTCTTTAGTAGCTGTTGATTTTGATCAAAGCTAAAATAAAGAGCTTTGGTATGTATTGCTCATGTTTCTCCACTACTTATTGGTTTTCCCATTTTCAGGTCTGGAGTAAGTGTTGTCTTTCCCTGGCTTTCTAGGTGTCATCTTTCAGTCTTTTAGTCAACACTGAGCTCCTTTGCCTGTCATTGGAAAGATGATAAAAGTAAAATAGATTTTTCTGTTGTAGGCTTCCCCCTATATATATATATATATATATGTATATATATATATGTATATATATATATGTATATATATTTGTTTGAATATCAAACCTCTAATTAATATACCACAACAGTTTTCTTATTATATAGGATGTTTTATGCTTTTTATTAAAAACAAAAACCAAACAAACTAAAAAAGAAGTAGCAATTAAACTATGAGTTAATTTCTAGTTTTCCTGACTTTAGTAAGACTGGTCTGTTTTCATATTCTGCATACAGAGATATGGACTAAGATGAGAAGTTGCCATGGATAAGTTTGAATTTGAAGCTTAATTTGAAGTGTACTGTGAGGGAAAGGCTTGTGTAGAGCACATTCTGGAGAGAGCAAGCAGCTAACCTCGTAGAATAACTAACTAAGGGACTGCTTTCTCTTTTGTTGTTCCTCAATAATCCATTACTTGTACTTATGGAAATAATGTAGATAAGACATGGAAATTTGAACACATTAAGGCCTTTAATATCACCCTCACTTTTGAAGGCTATGCTATCATGTAATCTTCTTGTTCATTTTTTTTCATAACTCCTTTTTTTTGAGCTAAGATTTCTCTAACACAGGTAAAGCTTCCACCTATAAACCCTAAATATCCAAGAAGAATGCCAAATGTTTCTACAAAGGAATTTAGTGGAGAAAATAAGCTTTCCTTGCCACCCATGTAAGTAGTACATTTATGAAAATCATTGAACACCTAAGCCTGCAACTATTCATGTATACAAGTAAAATTGCTCCTTGTGAAAATGCAGGAATTAGCAGATATGTGTATGGTCCTTGTGGATCTTTATTGCTGGTAATTTGCTATTATATGTGATGCTAAAACGGTTTTAAAAGCTTCTAAAGCAACTAAAATAACAGTACTTTAACTCAGAAAATTATTCTATATAACTTTGTATTAGGAAAACTGAGCATAGAGCACATTTTCATGTAGCTGAATTTTTTTGTATTCTAGATTGGGGTTTTTTTTAATACTAGTGAACAGGTGAAAATGATAATCTACATCATCAATTCTCTTAGTGTAGGTTACAGAGAAACAAGTAGGATTGACACTTTAAGGAAAGACATAAACTGTAGCCTTTATAAGGTCATACAGAGCGAAAATACTCTCATGAACAACTGAAAGAAGTGATTGAAGCAAATTTTTATGTCATTTGTGATGTGATGTAATCACATCATCAGCTCTGTGTGCACAATTGAATTGTTTCAACATACTTTGTCTGAAAAATTTATTGCTCAGTCATCAGTAGTCCTAGTATGTTTTACAACTATGGTAATGCTGCCAAATAAGTGATTAAACTGTCAAATGAATTTAAGAGAAAATTTGTAACATAATTTCACTTTTGTGCACCACAGAATGAGTACTGTCAGTCTTTCTCATTTACACATTCTTTTGCGCTTTTTGTCTTTAAGACAAGAACTGTGCAAGAATTATACATGTGAAATTCCAATGAAACAGATGTCTCTTCTCATGTAAATTTGAGTACTAAATCAGGCATAGTTCTTTGCTTTTGTTTATTTTTGGTTTTTATTCTTAGGTGATTACATGTAGAATATTTGTTTTGTTATTTATAAATAAATTATAAGGCTAGAAATCGTTATATTTTAAAACTGATGTTATAATTAGAAATAAATTCTAATGTAACATCTTTTCTGTAAAAAATATGATTTTTCCATCTAGCCCCTATTTCTGTTTACTTTTGCTTTTGTTTCCCTTTAATATATTTGTATTTACAGGCCTGCTCAGAGAAAAATTGAAGCAGTAAATTTTAGCAAATTAATAAGCAATGGTTATGGGACTGACTGGTTGCAGCAGTGTACTGGATGGGAAAAAAAGATTGAAGAAACATCAGAAAATAGTGATCACTCAGAAGGTAATGTTATTGAAAGCTGTTTCTTTTAAAACGAGCTGGGCTCTCAAGGTAACAGCAGAGGGCAGCCTCAGTATTTGTGTGGCTCTCTGAATATGGTGAGACACACTGAATTATTGTGTTTAGTTTACAATACCCCATGACCAGCTAAAGAAAGGAGTGCCCCTGTTTGCAGTCAGTGAAGGCAGGCGCTTTCATGGACTTTTTTCATCACTACAATTGCAGTGTGCTCTGTTCCAATCCAGGGGCTTCTGTGTTCTGATCCAGGGGCTTCTCTCTGATGTGTTTCCGTAAAATGCTGCAGAGACACAGCCATCCTGCCCAAATTTAAGCAGACTGTAAAGTATTTGTTGCCTCCTTGTTATGAATATTCTTTTGCTCCTAATATTTTTCCAAAAACTTCTGTCACAAGTGTCATTGATACTGATTTAAGAAATAGAGCCCTGCTTGTAGAAATTTGTCAAAATAAATATATGCACATTGTTAAAGGCAGTGGAATTTCAGCAGTTTAAGAGAAAAAAGTTATCCAATGTCATGCTTTCAAACCTTACTTTATCATGCACAATAGTAATAGCTGTGAAATACTTCACTTGGAAACAGATATAAAGGTTAAAGGGTAGGTAAATTTCTCTTACTTCTGTCAAAGACCTTTTTCTTAGGTAACCATGTTGGCTCTATCAGTTTTCTGTAGCAATGTTTGGAAATGCTATTGGATCTCCCATTCCATTTTTTTTTAAATTTGTTTCAGGGAATCCTTTTGTATATCTTGGCCTTGATATATTAATGTATGAAAGTCTTAGAGGCCAGGTATTTTAATTTTTCTGACACTTCAGCTCTGTCTGAATGAATTTTTGTGTCTTCCATTAATGTATCTACAGTGGTGGGTTTTTTTGTTGTTGTTGTTGTTTTCTGTTTTTGTTTTTTTTTTTTTGTGTGTGTGTGTGTGTGTGTGTTTGTGCAAAACCTCTTCTTCCAGGTGAGTATCAGGAGAAAACAGGGAACTAGAAGTTATATGGTTTTGTTCAGAAGAAAAAATGTCATAAAACTACAGGATGAAGCCAGATCTCGGTCTGGATCTGAAGGAGAATGCATAATCTTAGAAGCCACTTTTCAAGTTAACTTAAGTATCCAAACTCTGATCATGCAGAGGATGCTGCTTTGAGACTTCAGTGACCCAACAATTCAATCATGAAGTCTAAAAGTGCTCTTCCTCAGCATGAAAGAAAACCTTGAATATTCTTCTTTGTTTTCAGATTCTATTCAACTTTCTTGTGTGCTGACATTTTTCTTTCCCATTACTCTGAGTAAAATTAAAGGGGATTTCAAAATCTCAATTTCCTTAATTTGGTGATAGTTGATTTCTTAAAATGTATGCCTCCAATGAGACATCTGAGATATAAAGAAAAGTTGAAGATTTTTCAGAGTAAGCATGAAATTGGTTGGGTTATACCACTTAGGCAAAAGAGAAGAAAATGGGTACACTGTAAAGGCTTCTGGAAAGTCAGTGTGCGGTATAGGTTGACATATAGATACATCTAATTATTGAGTTGCTTTTATTTTTCATTTTTTTTTGATAGCGTGATACCTGCTATTGCCTTTGTTTGCAATATTAGCTATTCCAGTTGAGATTGGTTCTGTATCACAGTGTAAAAGGAGATTGCTTTTAATGCTCTTAACAATATGATTTCATCCAGATGTGTGTCTTCCTTCAGTTTTGACTGTGTCCTTTTCATTCTTTTAGGTGATTGCTGACGGTAGAGCTTTTACATTTTTTCCCACTCGTGTACTTTTTTCTCTTCATCCAGAGCAGTTGGCAGCATGAGCACCTTGCAGCTCCCTTTTGAGATGGAGCTTTCTCCGCTCTTGCACAGAATACACCCTAGACACCTCAGGAAGGAGATACAACCCATTCCATATGTAAATTTATAATCCCTTTGTTTTGGGGTACAGATTTGCAAATTTCTTAGGTAGCTTGTTTATCTTGTTAATTCAAAATTAAAAGTAGTGGAATTTATGTGTATTTTTACATGAGGAAGAAACCAACAACTTTAGCTGACCTTTTTATTAGTATGATTGAAGTTATTCTGTGAACTTTAATATTTTTTTCCTTTTGCAGTTTCAGAACACTCTGAATCACCACCTGCAAGCAATGAGTTAAAAGTCACAGTTTCAGGGATGTAATAAGTAACTTGAAAGATTCTTGGGGAAACTAAAGCTTTGTATTGCTTATTTAGCCCACTATTTACACGTTGGCTAGATTATTTTTGTAACTTAACGCGTCCCTGGTTGAGATGTTTGCGAGATGGATGAACTTCCTTGGGCTTGATTGCAGCAAATTTTGAAGAACCGACAACAACAGCTGTCAGTGCTTAGTCCTAGACCTTTTCTTAATGTAATAAACAAAGCTAAGCTGAGGTTTTCTCCTGCACAAGACTCCTGCTGCTTTGCTGTTCTCAAACAGGATTACCATATTGCTGCTGACTTAACTAGACACAGGCATGCTATTGATGTGCACAAATCAACAAGTTTCTTTAGTTAAGTACAGCTGTACTCATGAATTATGCCACAAAGAAAGGTGAAGGGGAACTGTATGGTATGAGATGAAATGTAGCTAGAAAGAATTGAACTGGTATGGATACTTGCAGTAAAAAAGTCAAACCTTCACTGGAAAGAGTGCTTCTTCATCCCAAAAGCTCGTTTGAACAGACACTCAGCTTTCTAGGACAATTCTCTTGCTGTGCCTCCTGCATAAGAACTAGTTGATCAGTCATAGTGTTCAGCCACATAATTAAAGATCTGGTGGCATTTCCTGGTATAGTCTCATTGTATAGAAGCTGAATCATGGATTAACAGTTCTATGGACTCAGCTATCTATGATGTTAGCACTTTCAGCTGTTAAATAAAAAAATTATCTATCCTGAAGTCTTGACTGCAGCAAAAATATTATATGCTAGATCACTGTGTTTATTCGCACCAGCAGAAGTTTGTACTTTGAAATAGCAATGTATAAATGTTGTAATTTAATATTTTGAAAAAGTTAAGATACACTGATATTTCAATATCTACTTGGATTAGGATATATCCCTGAAATCTTAATAATAATGAAATATTGATTATAAAGTCCACTAGAAAGTGGGTGCAATTTCATTACCATGCCTTTTGCTAATAGCATGGAAAGCAAACTCTTAGTTTTTAGAATTTCCTCTTCAGATTACATTCAGTACATTTTACACCTTTGAATCCAAGTACTGTTAAGTAGATTTCTTTGAACAGAATGTTTAGAGTATTTGGTTTAATACTGTTCCTTTAGAACTTTCATGTAAAAATTGATTGGAAATAGGTAAACCATTGCTAATCTGAGCCCTCAAAATTTTCAGCAAACTCTAGAAATTTTGCTGTTGATGTTGTTAGACCTAGCACCTGAGTCCATCTTTGCTATCCATTATTTTGAACAATTCAACTAAATTGTATTTTAAAAAATAAAAGGCTAAGACATATGCAAATGCTTAAATGTACAGTTATTGGATGCTCAGCAAATTTTTCAAAATAGAAAAAAAGCTTACATCAAGTTCTAACTTTAGTGGTGTGTGAGATTAATTACCTTGTATCTGTTTTCACTTACAATTTGTGTTGTGAATTATGTCCAGATACATTGAAACCATTAATTTTGCTGTGAAAGCAGAGCTTTTGGGGAATCCAGTTTTCTAGGCTACCCTTATCAGGGCATGCCAGCATTGGAGCCCATAGCATTAAAACCTGACCAGTTGTGGTGTGTTGATCTTGGCTGGATACCAGGTGCCTGCCAAGCCTCTCTATCACTCCCCTTCCCAGCTGGACAGGGGAGAGAAAATAAGGTGGAACAGAACTCATAGGAGTGACTCCAGTAAAGGGCAACAGAGGTGGTGAAGGTTTGAGAAAGTAAGCTTGAGGATCAGCTGAGGGAGCTGGGGTTGTTTAGGCTGCAGAAAAGGAGGCTCAGGGGTGACCTGACCACCGAGTGCCTGAAAGGAGTTTGTAGCCAGATGGATGTAGGTTTCTCCCAGCCAACCACTGACAAAATGAGGGGAAACAGCCAGGGGAGATTGAGGTTGGACATCAGGGAGAATTTCTTCACTGAAAGGAGGGTTAAGCATTGGAATGGGCTGTCCAGGGAAGTGGTGGAGTTACCATACTTGGAAGTGTTCAAGAAGCAGCCATACATGACAGTGCTATGGCTTTGTTGACAAGGTGGTGCTCAGCTGAAGGTTGGGCTTGATGATCATGGTGGTCTTTTCCAATTTAAATGATGGTCATTAATGTGTATTCAGCTTTCCTTAGTCAAGCCAAGGAGAGGTTTGATTTGCACTGTTGGTCACCTGAATCTGAATGGATCACAGTTTGAATACTGCAAGTAAGAATATTAACAGCCTGAGATTTCTCTTCACAAGAACAGGAGGATGATTCTGGAATCTGTGCATGTTCTCCAAGGGACATGAATTCAAAGTGGTGTAACAAATCAGAAAGCTCCAGCTGAACCCAGGGGTGGAAGTGTGCTGCTTGAATTCACCTTATCGCAGTAATCATGTTGTTCTATTTGCTTCTGAGTCAATGCAGTCATGCAGCTGGCAGTTTTCAAAGTCACCAACAGTTCCATGTAAAAGTGGTGGAAACTTCTGGTTTTCCATTTCTGTTTTTCAGAGAAATGCCAAAGTCAAAAGCTGGGTATTTATTACAAAATCTTGCCTTATTGTTTTAAATGCTGAAACATTTGTTTCATTGTCTTGTGCTCTATTTCTGCCCTGAATGCCTTTAAGTAGTGAGAGTTTTTTTTCTTTTTTTTGAATACTGATTGCTTTGCAAGCCCAAAGATAAAACAAAAGTGCAGTTACATTTTATGAATTGCATCCAAGATACTGAGTATGTGAATGTTTCTAAAAGAGAATACCATATAAAGATTTAACAATAACTTGTCAGTTTAGTGACTGGAGACTAATTTTCCTTTTATATACAGCCATTTCATTGTA